ATGCCAGCGGAAGTGTATGAGGGGCAATTAATGCCGCACAGATGGGCAGGGAGAGCCGATGCCAGCGGAAGTGTATGAGGGGCAATTAATGCCGCACAGATGGGCAGGGAGAGATGATGCCAGCGGAAGTGTATGAGGGGCAATTAATGCCGCACAGATGGGCAGGGAGAGATGATGCCAGCGGAAGTGTATGAGGGGCAATTAATGCCGCACAGATGGGCAGGGAGAGATGATGCCAGCGGAAGGGTATGAGGGGCATTTAGTGCCATACAAAGAGGCAGGAAGAGATGATGCCAGCGGAAGTGTATGAGAGGCAATTAATGCTGCACAGATGGGCAGGGAGAGGAGAGGCGAGCGGAAGGGTATGAGGGGCATTTAGTGCCACACAAAGAGGCAGGAAGAGAGGTGAGACTAGAAATGTATGATGGCGATTAGTGCCACACAGAGAGACAGGGAGAGGTGATGCGAGCTGAAGGGTATGAGAGGTAATTAATGCCACACACAGAGGCAGGGAGAGATGATGGCTGTGTCCAAAACGGCAGGCCGGGTCCTCCGAAGGCCGAATTTGTCGGCCACATACGTCACAGCCCTGCGACGAAGGACGTCCAAAACCGAAGACTCCTCCGATGCGGCCGACAAATATGTCCTTCCCTTTCCCCGATTTGAAGAACTGGTCTGATGGATCCTTCCCGGCCCAGCATATCCCATAATGCATTGCGGCCCGACCGGAGATTTGTTTAAGCTAGTAATGGCGGACGAAGCGAGAGAAAAGAATACGTTTTAAATAAAAATATGGTGATAAGAAAATTAAAAAAAATTAGCGGTTGTAATTCTAATACTTTTATTAAAATTAATTGATTTATTTAAGTTTGCTTGTTTAGCGTCGTCACAGTTGCTAGGTGACATGACGTACGCCGGGGTAAGGAGGGGAGGCTAGATCGTCCAAATTCACAGCCTCTTTTTTTCCGGTCTTCCCGGTCTACCAAGGACCCGGCCCGCCATGACCGGGGAGTCTGGGTCCTCCGGAGGACCCGGCCTGTCGTTTTGGACACAGCCGATGTGAGTGGAAGTGTATGATGGGTAATTATTGCCACTTAAAAAAACTATTTTAGTTAAAATCTCAAATACGAAAGACAGAAAAGGCAATAAACCTGAAGTTGTTACAGCCAAACACATTTCCGTTTCAGTATCACTAAATGGCTGCAAAGACCAGCCTGTCTTTAAGGTGTTTCTGAATATTTAGCAGGCTGCTTCAGCCATTGTGGTTTTATTGTTCGGTAGTTGGATTTCTCTTTTAACAGTACCTGCTCTTTTCAGACTGATCTGTTGAGCTCAAGCTGTGCTCTTCTGCTAAAACAGATAAAAGGTTTGCGCCCCTCTCCAGGAGGAGTTTGCAAGTTCTGCCTTGGTTCAGTCAATCTACAGGCAGCAGTCTGCTGATATCAAAATCAGTTGTGCGTGGTACTTTGCCTGAAACCATCACTGCAGTGGACCTTAAAACACAGATGGAATTAGAGTTGGGAGACACATTTGTCCACGGCTGAATCAATGGGAACCACTTTATTGCACCAAAGGAGCTATAAAAAACACTCACCCACATATAGGGAAATTTTAAAGTTACAACATACATGTCTTTGGCCTGTGGGAGGAAACCAAAGTACCCAGAGAAAACCTACACATGCACAGGGAGAATATTTACACTCTAAACAGAAAGGACAGGAAGTGACACTGTGACCTTCTGACTGAGAGACAACAGCCATTTGTGATGGACATTGTTAATCAATTTGTTATATCTAAATGCGAAGTTTCTCTTTAATTTTCTTTATGTATTTTAATATATTGACTCCCCATCAGCATGTGTGGATATATGTACAGAATCCGGCTCAGAGCTCGCATGTTCAACCCTGATGAGATTCGTTTCCCTTATCCTGGCTGTGGCACTGTTAGCACCTCATACATCAGTTTTTATCTCACCTCACACACACATTTCAGAGCCTACGTTTTCACTGCGTCATCACAGAAGATGAGTACGAACAAACACACACACACACACACACACACACACACACACACACACACACACACACACACACACACACACACNCACACACACACACACACACACACACACACACACACACACACACACACACACACCAAAAATACGTCATGCAGCCTCGCAGACACTTTTCACTTTCTTCTTGAAAGTCTTTTTTTTTTGTCTTGAGAAAAAAGAGGCTTCTGACGTTTACACTTCATGGTTTCTCTTTTCTTGTTTTGACTTTTTTATATCAACACTTTTCAATTAAACCCTTAAAAAACATTACGGATCAGAGCAAGGATTTTTACAGGTCAGGTGCTACAGTTTTATTGTTCTAGCTGTATTAAAGAAAGCCCAGCACATAAAATCTGATTAGACTGAACACATTTAAAAGTAAAATGTAATTATTTGCTGTATCTGTGATTTTTAGGAAATGCACATTTTTGCCTCACAAATGAAAACAGATGTAAAAAAAAAACAGGAGAGTTGAAGGAAAATCATTTTATTGTAACATTTTCTTCCAAAGCAGCTCTGACAAAACACTTAAAAAACTAAAAATCTAAATGAATGGTGACAACTGTATTAAAATCTCATCAGTAAACGCCACTCAGTGTAAAATATAATTTTTTTTCACTTGTAAAACAGAGATAAAAATCATTAATTAAACAAACCCAGGTGATAATTGATTCATTTACCAAACAAGTTAAATAAAAACTTTATAGATTCTATTTTCAAATATTTTAATTCCACTCAATTTGCTGCCTGCTAAAGTCTGATTGAGTACTTCTTTTTGCATTTGTTCTCTCAAATGGTGAGAATTATATTTTAAATTAACGTTTGTACTCCTTAAAATAGAGATATAAAATAACTAAATGGTAAAAAAAAATTATTTTTTTCACATATTTTTAGACATTTAGTAAGAATACTTGAAAAATAAAGAGCAGAAGCACCTGATGAAGTGTCTTGACTCATCAGTTATTTATCCTTATAAATAAATTAATAAAAAATGTCAAATTTGTGTGCCTTGTCTCAGGGTTACCACTTCACTGCAGCAGCCCTGATCATAGTTTGTGTGGATTTCTCTCTGTATTTGCCAGATTCTTTGATTTAAATCTCTAAAACCAGCTCTGTGTTTTCTTCCTCGCAGCTCGGTAAACACAGAACAGCACAGGGATTATCCTCAAGCTCAAGCATTGTTTACAGAAAATACAGTGTTACACTTTCAGGCAGCAGTGAGAACATGAATATAAATCATTCTAGCAGCAGTTCGGCCTAAACATTGGAGAATCTTCAACCTGAAGGTTTGATTCCCACAGCAGAAATAAAAACAGCCCATCGTCTCAAAAAGCTCACACTTTTCCTTCAAAACAAACAAAACTGATGTTTAGATCTGAACCAATATTGCTCCTTTCATCTCTAGTAAATATGAAAATAATTACATGTTTAGGTAAAGGGAAACAGCTTGAAAGACCTTGTAATAAAGATAAATTTACATAAACAAAATCTGCAGTGGCACAAAATAATAAATATTTAAATCAGGATTAATTAGTTTGTGATGAAAGTAAATTTATAATTTCAACACATTTTGAACCAAACCCCAATTCTGAAAAAGCTGCAAATAAAAGTACAATGTAATGATTTGAAAATCTCACAAATAAGCAAAAGAAATGTCAAAACTAAAAAAGTACAAGATTTTTAAAACTAAAATAAACAAAGTCGTTTTAAATTTGATGGCAGCAACTCTTCGAAACAATGTAGTTCCACAGGGGCGGGGCTAAACGTTTTTACAAGGTGTGGCCCCAGGAATGGCCAAGGTGCTTTTTTTAGGGGGTCGAATACAAAAAAAAAGAATGTGATGGCTACCACAGCCAATTCCAAATGGCTTTAATTCAGTTTATTTAAACAATATTAAGCTGCAATTTTGTGCAATCATAGCTAATCAAAAACAAATTATTATTTAGCCATTTTTGGACATAAAAACCTAAAGATTAGTTTAGAAGTAGCCAAAAACAATCTTTACCAAATCCTAAATGCTAAAAAAAATTTCAAGCTAACTTTAAAAGCCTATAATTCAACTATTTTTAGACTAATTGAGATGAAATTTGTTGTTCTGATTGCCGATGCTAATCCCAAACTAAGCTAAATGCTAATGGTAATGCTAATTTTACGAATGGCTATAATTCATCTATTTTAAGATTCATTGAGATGGAATTTGTTGTAGAGTACCTAAGAATGATCTCATGTCGATATCCGATGCTAATCCCAAACTAAGCTAACCACTAATGCTAATGCTAATTTTACAAAGTGGTATGATTCAGGCATTTTTAAACACAGCAATATTTAACAAAAGCTAAATGCAAACATAAAATCCAAAATCCCCATCCACTTGTCAATTATTTGGGCGTGGCACCTGGGGTGGCCAATCAGGGGCCAGAGGTTGGCACTTGCCTCCCCTCTGGATCCGCCCCCTGTTGTTCCTGGTCCATGTTTCCCCTTTGCAAACATTCAGAACCAGAGGAGACCAGTTCTTTAAACACAAACTTCCAGCTTCTTCCCTCTGGCTGGAGGTTTAGGCTTCCCAGGATTAAAGTAACAGATGGAAGAACGCATTTGAACCATCGCAATCAGATATTTAAATTTCTAAATTTGTAGTTTTAAATTTTATCTAAATATTTATAAATTTATGCTTGTATGCTTTCAACATTGACTGTATTCTATGTTGTTTTTGTATGTTGGAAATGCCTGGCATTTCTGTCCTCTGAACTGAACTGAACAGGTTCTGGAGGGATTGTTGTCCCGTTCTGGTCTGGTGGAGGATTCTAGCTAAATGGGAGCAGATGTTCTAAAACCAGATTTCACTTTTCTACATTAATGGAGCCTTTCCAGACCTGTTAGCTGCCCATGACAGAGGCACTAATGCACCCCCATACCATCAGAGAGGCAGGCAGGCTTTTGGACTGCGTGCCGACAATAGGCTGGATGGTTCCTCTCCTCTTTAGTAGGAGGACTGGGGAGATTTTGTTAATCTAACCACAGAACAGGTTGTTTTAATGTTTTGCTGTCATAAAATTAAATTCCCATAAATGTACACATTTTCTATGTTTACTATGGTTCATTGAATATAAAATATAAGTTTATGAGATTTTCAAATCATTGCATTCTGTTTTTATTTACATTTGAAACAACATCCCAGCTCTGTAGAATAAGGGTTTGTGCACAAACAGCAATAAATAATCCAAAACCGGACAGGTTTATATTCAGAGTGGAATTCTCAAAACCAAACAAAACTGCATAAATAATGTGGACTAAACTAACAAAACAACTAAGTGAAAAAAGGAAGTACAGTATATATTACTCTGACAGTAATGCCGATTAATCAAAAGTTCTCACAATCATACCTAAACTAATAAAAATATAAAATATAGACTTTTTTTTAACAGATGTGTACAAGAACACTGCAACCTCACCAGATTTAAAAAAACACAACAAAGAAATTACAAGATTTTGTTTTTCAGATAGCAGTACAGCATCCTCAGGAGTTAAAAGTCTGTCACTTGGTGACTTGTTGTTGTTTTTGTTGTTGTTGACACGCCTGTTTGTGTTTCGCTCGTCACCAGATGCCGAGTGATCCGGGTGGTCTGGATCACCGTGGTGTGGGTTCCAGCCTCCATGGAGGAGACTTCTTCAGACGTCTGCTGCGAGGTGAAATCGAGCCCCGATGTGTGGAGGAAGAAAGACCCCGAGACGTCGGCCTCGCCTCCCACCTCCCCCCTCCGCTGTGCCTGAGGAGAACCCTCTGGGGTTATCTGAAGAAAACCTGCAGGGGGCAGGAGAGGAAACCAGGAAAGACAAGGTAAGGAAAGGAAAGGAGGGGAGGATGGGTGAAGAAGGAAATGAAACTTAAGCTTTTATGAGAGGAAATTAAAAAAGGACACAGATAAAATATTTAAAACACAAAACATCTCAAGAAAAATAAACACAATTCCAAATTCTGTGTAAATCTCATAAACCCAAATTGTATTCACAATGGAACAGAGTTAACATCAATTATTTAAATAACTTATTGGGAAAAAAACAAAGTAATTTAGAATTTTATGGCAGCAAAACAAGAGCCACAAGGAACATTTAGCAGCTAATTAGGTCAACTGTGAACAGCTCAGTAAGAGGTTTGGGTATAAAAAGAGAGATTTAGAGGGTGAAGGCTCAGAAATAAAGATGGACAGTTGTTCACCAGTCTGTGAGAACTGGGTCTGAAAATAGTGGAAGATTTTCCAAAATTTGAAATTTCATGAGGAAACCATGTCCTTCCTTCTAAAAAGCACACATTTAAAACCCTGCCTCTCTGATGATATAGGGGTGCATTAGTGCCTCTGGCAAGGGCAGCTTACCCATCAAGATATGCATTGTCTATGCAGAAAAGTATCTGCAGGTTTTAGAACATCTGCTTTCATCAAGCAAAGAAAATCCAAAACTGTAGAACAGCTAAAAGTCCACCAACATTCCCTCCAAAACCTCCAGACCTGGTCTCCTCATGTGCTACATAAAGGTTTACAAACATCAAGAGGAAGAGATGCTTCACAGAGGGAAAAACATGGAAATGTTCTTTGATTTTTCAGTTTTGAAATAAAATGAGAAAAAAGGGTTGTTTTTCTTGTATTTTAAACTAAATTAGAAAAATTGCTAAACAAAAAAAGGCTACATTTTTTTCATTTTAATGGTTTAAGCAAAGACAGGTTTTATATTATTTTGTTATTGCACTATTCGACTTCAGTAATTTCCAGTACCACTACACATAAAACAACCGTGTATTTTATTTTTAGATTTAGATAGCTGAAGCAAAAATCAAACACTGTGGATTTTAATTAGTTCGATTTTACGTTTTTCACATTTAGGTTTTAAAAACTGGGGAAAAAAACAAACTTTTTCTTTTTCTTTTTGTGAATTTAGTTTGAAACAGAAC